CTTCTAAATTTGTTTTTAAACGGTGATAATTGTTTTTTAAATTATATTTAACAATAATAATTATTTAAAAATATTTATTACAGTCCACTTAACAACTATTATTAATTTTTTCAATAGTAAGTTTATATATATATATATATATATATATATATATATATATATATATGTATATAAGTTTTTTTTTTTTCTTGTTTGTATGTGTTTTTGTATATGAGGTTTTCATATATATACTACATATATATATTTATATATAGATATTTATACTCATATATTCCGTAAATTTGGAGCGATTAGTGGACGTTGAAGTGGAAAAATGTTGCATATCTAATATCGCTTCGGTGACTGCACTTGTGGTGGTGCAGTTAGTGCGAACGTATGTAATACCCAGTAGGGCTTAAAAAATTTACCGAATTATACCGATCGATTCAGAATCATTGTTTAAATCGAACTGAGCCTGTCTCTCCGTCTGATTTCTTTCCATCTACAAGTCACAATTTTTAAGGTATTCTGATGACATTTGTGTACACAGACGTACTTTGGTCCGAGAACGAACGCTATTGAAAATGGTTTGGATCGGTCCACTTTTCCGACCAATCCCCATAATAACGCCCTCGTCTAAAAAATCATTATATGAAAAAAAAAAATTGCAATTTTCAAATTTCTCGGGACGTAAACTGTGAACCGGTTCGGGCAGTTTAATTAACTCCCTTTCATATAACTGTTTCTGCGGAAAATGAAGCTGGTGAAAGTTGGCTCATAATAGTAAATTGGCAAAAAAATCCACCTTAGTAGGATTTTCGTGAAACGTAAACCCTTTAATGAAAAAAAACTACTGATCGCTAATTTTTTTGTGTGATGAAGATTTGCTCATGATAATAATTAATTAAGCCCATGTTAAATATCTCGTGAGTAGTAAGCTCTTCCGAAAAGGCTAAATTTTTAATATTTTATGATGAAACTTGGTTCATAGGAGCGTTTTAGCAGAAAAAAATTAAATTAACGGTAGGGAATTCGGATCACATAGGTCAATTTTTTATAGGCGCTATCACGAAACGTAAACACTTACATATATACATATAAATATGTTTTTATTTCATTTTTTGTTTATTTTTAGTTGACATTGGTTTTATTGTGAAATATTTTTGTTGTTGAGTCTTACTTTTACCGACAAATAAAGGAAAATTTTATATATATATATATATATACATATATACATATATACATATATACAATATTTATATAAAATATATATATATATATATATATATTTTATATATATATATTAATATATATATATATATGTATACATATATATACAATGTCGAGCAAAAAAATATATGCATAAGTTTTATATTATCATATTTCTGCTGACTGTTTTTGTTCTTTTCTTAATAAAATTATTTTGATTTGATGTAAGTATGAATTGTTAAGCTGGTTGCATTCGTTTTGCAATCGTTTTTACAGCTTTCTTCTTTTCGACTATTTTTTTTTTTTTTTTTGGATACAAAATGCATTCAACTAATGAATGCTACATCATCGTCCAACGGCGAAATGTCTTTTTTTTAACCGAGTAAAATTATATATATTAGATATATATATATATATTTTGTTTTCTAAATCAAAGATAGCTTTATTCTTTTCTGAATCCGATTTAATTTTTAATTTTTGATCAAAAAATGTACGTCTACGGGAGCGCAACAACGACGCAATTTGCCATTGAAACGTATGAACTTTCTCTCTATCTCTCTCTCTTTCTTCTTTTTCTTCTGGCTGAGCTTTAACATTTCAAAACCTCATCAGGCAGACTGACAGATAGTACCGTGTATGTGTAGTCTGCTTTCATATCTTTCTTTTCAAGGAGCTCGGTATTGAAGAAGCCTTTGTAAATTTGCAAGGCAGTATAATTATATATACATACGAGTGTAAAGGGAATAATAATTTGGGGCAGTAAAAAAGATACGAAAAATTCATTTTTTAGATTACAATTTTTTTTTTTTTAGTTAAACAGTATTTTTCTTTTGTGTGGTTTTTGTGAAAAACACACTAGTAGTTAGATTGTATTACTAGAAACTTGAATATTGGAAAATACCTTGATTTTCCAATCATCGGATATGATAGAGAATTTCATTTTGAGTTGAGAGAAACCGGATCTTGTTCACTATTGAACCGATATTTTTAAAATTAAAAATTATTTTACAAAAATTGACTTTAGCTTAGTATTGGCTAATTGATTAATATTAGTTAGATCGTTGTCCATATCAAAAAGTTTAAACTTTTTGTTTTTTCATTATTCATTTTTATAATGGGCATCAATTTGTTTTGCTTTCTTGCGCATTGTTACATGATTTAAAATTGCTTGGGAATGCCGAAGGAATATAAATGAATGAACGAATGAATGAACTGAATGACTACTAAGACTATATTATATGAGGAGCTTTAAATAATAAAAGTATACTTTTGGAAAATTTAATGCAAAATATTTGCCAAAAAAATAATATCGTATTATTTATTACGCAATCATATATAATAATAATAATAAGTTTTTGGTAAAAGACTTTGTTAAAGAAAAAACGAAGAGAGTCACCCACCAAATAATTTACTAATTTTTTTTTCCTATTTGTTACAATTTTCACATTTTTTTTTTTTTTTTTTTTGGGTAACTTTTATAGGTAACGATGTATTCATTTGTTTTAAGAAGAAGCAAAGCAGATTTTTTTTTTTTTTTTTTTTGTTAGCAATTGAGAACAAAATGAATGTATAATAGTTTAAGTTGCATGTATATTAAGTTGCCCGCCAGTGTATAAATGTTTATATATATATATATATATATATATATATGTTTATAAAGATATGATTGATATTCAAATTATTGTAAAAAATGTTTCAATAATCAAAAAATAAAATAAAATAAAAATACGTATTCTTAAGATGCATTTGTTAAACTTAATTCTAAACTTTTTTCATTTTAGTTTGAAAATATAACTTGAAAAGGGTAGGGTGGCCTTTTTCCCTAGCAACTGCAAAGAAAGTGAAGAATACTTTGAATTAATTGCTTATAATCGTAAATATATTTAATATAATGAACGAATAGAGTTTTTTATTCCCGTGTCACGAACGAATCGCGTCAAAAGCAAAATTTACAATGTTTCGTCCGATACACGCAAGCAAATAATTTATCACTACAAATGAAAATAATGGTGGTCGGTCAGTCATTGCCTTTTAAGTACTGCTCTCTTCCCATATTCATGCCGTTGATCACAAGCGAATTAACACCTTTTGCAGATAAATCATTGGCTTGATTAGATTTGAGTCTGGGCAATTTTTGAGACGATTTTCCACTACATACAATTCAATTCAAAATTCATGAAGGAACATATGATTAGCTCTCTCTCTCTCTCTCTTCTTCGTTCTTTCCAATTTATAGAAAAGCAAAGTGTCTTGTAATTATGGCAACAGAATGATGAAAGCAATACTTTAAAGTAACAGTAACAGTAACAGCAATTTCGAAAAGGAGTTGAAAAAAAATCGACAGTGGAATGATTGTAAAAAGAGCGTGCAAGTCCAAAGGAGGCGTTAATTATCAGCCACATGCTATTGAATAGAAGTCAACGACTGCGATGTTACTGACTTAATCAGCGCATGTTAGCTAACTTCTAACATTGTCCAGACAGACACCATTCTAAATAGAATGACTTTGATGGATTAAAATTCCAACTCTACGATAAAGTAGTTATATAAAATATGTTGTATTTTCTTTTTTTTATATTTATATACATCATTTTCATACTTACTCATATATAAAAATAATAGATGATCGAGCAATTTTAACCTTTTTTTTTAGATTTTCGATGACGATGATAGCGATAAACACGACTACATCGTCTACGTCGTCGTTTAACAGTCCAATAACAGTTCAGCAATCATCACTCTTTCATCATGCTACCACTTGCTGCAGAAACATTTGCTGTAGGTGCGGTATTCATTAACTTGTGCTGCGGTATTACAGTTAAACTTTTAGGTATCTTGGAAAGCAGAATTTGCTGTTGTTGCTGTTGCTGTTGCTGGTGTTTAAGAGCATTTGCGTGTGTGAGAGTGGAGGCAGGTGAAGAATTTGTATTATGTTTAGGTAAAAGCAAAGGAAGTTTTGGTGTAACAGTAGATCCCATGTTACCGGCACCTGCACTAGCAGCGGCGGCACCATTGAGCAACAACTGATTGGCGTCAGGAAAATTATTCCAAAGCCACGAAGCGTTATTCAGGGAAGCAGCATTATTGGCTGCATTAACATTTGTGTTGGCAGCATTGGTGATGGCATTGGCAAGCAACGGCATCATGGGAGCAGGGAAACTGGAGCTCGCGGAGCTAACTGTCGCCTGTAAGGGAGGAACATTTGAAATATTGCTGCTAGAAGTTGGCGGAGGCTTGGGAGCTATTGGTTGATATCGCGGTGGAGCGCCCATAGTTGATGCAGAGTTATTAGCGCTAGAAGCTGTTTTAAGGAAGTTTTGCTGATGCTGCATTATTTGCAATTGCAAAAGTTGTTGTTGAGCTATTTGTTGCCGCTGTTGCTGCTGACGATCCGCGGCAACCAAAGCAGCTACCGATTTGCTCAAACTTTGTACGCTAGGTTTTTGTAAATGATGTTGCTGTTGTTGTTGTTGTTGTTGTTGCTGCTGCTGCTGCTGCTGCTGATGTTGTTGCTGGTGTTGTTGTTGGGTTTGTTGCTGTTTGGTTTCTTGTCTTTTTTTGGAAGCTTTTAACATTTGATCTCGCATCAGTTTCTCACGCCTTAAAATGCACATACGATTATAATCAAATATCGAAATGAGGAATGGTTTGCCGCCAGATTGCACTTGCACCAGCCCAGGCAAACGTCGACCGTCGGCTGTTTGATAGAGTGGCCCATTTTTATGTAATAAATTTTGATTTTCCTCTACCGGCATGAGAGTCGGACGCCAACTTTTGCTTTGCAAGCGCTCTTGTGGTGTTAAAGTGTCTGGCAATATTACCACATTGGGTGGAGGTCTGGAATTACCCGATTTTCCCAATAATTGTGGACGTTTATTGACATTTGAAGCGGTGCTTGAACTACTATTGTGACTGAGTTGACTGCCAGATCGTCTCTGCAAACTAACTAACTCTGGCGGTGAGCTAAGCAGCGAGGCAGTAGTCTTAGGTTGTTGCTGAGCTGCTGCGGCTGCTTCCAATTGATTACCTAACAATTTGTTGGCCACGTCGAGAATTTTCTGTTGCTTACTTTCAGTGGTGGTGGATGCAGACGATGGATGCGTAACGGATCTTAAACAGCTGGCGGCATTAGATGAAATCGAGGCGGAAGAAGGAGCAGGTGTAGCAGTGCAACTGATTGGTAAAATCTCTACAGATTTATTTATGCCTAATAGATTGCATTTGAGTATACTGCGACTATTACTATTGCTGTTGTTATTGATAGCAGTCGAAGTCAATGATACAGTACCGGATGAATTCGTTAACGCCAAGGTCGGCGTTGTCGTTGTTATAACGTTCCCCGAAGCAATTAGATTATCTTTTAGTAGTGATTTCTGCGGTGAGGGCGTAGTTCTCTTACTACTGCTGTTGTCCTTGGGACGTGCTATTATAGTGACTGCGTTGGTACTTAATTGTTTCGTAAGTTTATCCACAGATAAGCTGCGAGATCGCAGTTGTGAATGAATATTATGTTTATTAGTAGTTGAAAAGGAGGAATCTTGTATGGGCGTGGAAGAGGTGCTTAGTTTTGAAATTTCAGTCATTTCAACATCTGGAGTTTCAACAACGTCATCGTCGTCGTCATCATCGTCTTCGTTAATCTCTACGGTAGGTATTTCGGGTTCGGGTACTTTCTTAGAATTAACAGACTGATCAATTGCCTTAGGAGAAGGTTCCTGCAGACCTCCACAATGCCCCTGATCGTAAGAAGTCAGACGTTGTCTAACAGTTTGTGTATAGACGCTGGCGTTCGAAGAGGCGTTTGGTGATAAATTCAAATCACCATTACGGAAATACTTCTCGAGAAGTATGAGATGTCGCAAAAATGAACTTTGATTGCCGTATGGTTTTTGAAGTTCCTCCCATAATCTCCTTGTTGGTTCATCATATTGCAAAAAAGTTTGTACTCGCGTCCAACCTTCTGGTGTTCGTTGACTCGCATTACTGCCGAATGGAACTTTAAAATGTAAACCCAAATCTTCCTCACCCGGAAATAGTTCACGCATCGAAATATTAGGATTGGCCCGTAAAACGGTTGATATATCAGTAGACGATGCACCTTTTTCTGTATTCGTAACAGTAGTAGTATTGCTTTGCAAAATGGCCTTGAGCTTTGACATTTGTTGGGCTTCATTTGGAGGAGACGGTGATTGATTGATACTTGCGTTGATATTATTCGCTGATACTAACGATGATTGATTAGATGAGTCGGTATTTGAAGCATTGCCTTCATAATCGCGATCCATGGTTTCTATCGCATTTTCTACTAATAGTACATTACTTGTTACCGTAGCTTTTGTACTTTCGGAACAAATTTCCAACGAATTGCTGGAATCCATAGGAGATGGAGGACTTTCCTTGGCAGCTGAAGACTCATCGTCAACTGTAGCCGTTAAGGATGCTTTATTAGGAGACGACTCTTGTAAATTTGTGGTACTATTTGAATCGTTATTGGCGGCTGATCCATTATTATCCTCCTCATCTGCTTCCGATGCTTCATCACTGCTTTCATGGATGTTGTGGAAGTGTAATAATCTTAAAAAAAAAAAAAAATATATATATATATATAATAAATTAATAATAAACATGTTCGATATTATTCACGAGTATGTATAAAAGGTTTATTCCGCTTAGCAAATTTTAAAATTAAAAATAAAAAAAATCTTACCGTTTACGATAATTTTTAATAAATTCGGCTTTCTGGGATTTAGGGGGTTTCATTATTAAATTGGCAAAGTAACGACACACTTTACATGCAGCGGTGCCAATGTCTAATTGAACTGGTATACCCATGTCCGATAGAGCCTTCTCTAAGCGATTAGTGTCCTTAAACACAAACAAGTTCACGTTTTGGATTCGCATAAGGATTCTCTTTAATGTATATAATCATCACTTACCGATGGCATGCGATAGATTTGGTTTTTAGCTAATCGTCGCTTACATAAAACGCATCCCGAATATTGTATAATGGTATCGTAGTGAGCTTGGCATAGCCACACGCACAGAGAACCGGTTGGCATTTCGAAATTCAGCAAGAATTTCTTAATAGTTTTTCTTATACATTTGCGACGTAAGGAATGAACTGCCGGATTTACACAATCAGTTACTACACATTTGCGGGGATTGTTTGCGGAGTTCGAATTTTTGCTGTTATTTGTATTTATCGTTGATTCGGTAACATCGTCATTGGCGTCATCTTCCCCAGGCGCTGGTTGATCATGAATCGGTTTTCCTGTAATGGCAGAGGTGGTGGAAGCTGACATATTTTCTAAATTGCCCGGTGCTGATAAGCGCTTTTTATATGACGGTACATTCGCGCGACGATCCACGTGACGAAAACAGGCATCACACAAACAATTGTCGACGGTTAGCTTTTCTTCATCTTTATCACATTCAAAGCAAAAATGAGTTTTTTTTTTTTTTTTTTCAATTAACCAAATCCTTTACTTGCTCCACTTACTTGCTAATATCTTTTGTTGTCTTTCAAGAGATTTAATTTGCCCAACATGGCAAGGTGTATCGTACAGTCCAAATTTACCGCTACAGTAGAAACATTGATCCTCACATAGCCGCTCAGGATGAAATTTGAACGATGAAGCCTTTTCCGGTATTAAAATTTCTTCTTTTTCATCTTTTTTGGAACTGACACTGGCTGCTCCATGATTTTCATGCTGGTCTGAATTGGAAGAATCTATAGTAAGAGTTTGGTTGTGATTTGTAGACGTAAAACACACACACACACGCAACGAACAAAACATGTATACCGCGATGAAAAAAAAGATACACAAAAAAAATAAATAAATAAATAAATAAATAAATAAATAAATTATGTAAAGGAAGAAAAGAATAAGAAACAAAAATTTAAAAAGAAAAAGAAAACTTAAATTTTTATTCTTATAACAAAAACAACAATCATGTTAGTGAATATTTTATGATGATCAATAAAAAAAAAACAAAAAAATAGATGAAACATTGCAAAAGAAAAAAAATCCTTCCGCATCAGAGATAATCTCCATCATCGGAATTTACAGTTTTGAGAGCTTTTTAGTAATCAATTCTGTTCACATATTTTCAATGCGATTGATTACTCTTCTCTACGATAGCTTGTACGCTCGTATATTATTATACGAGAATCAAATATTCGCATGCATAAAAATCCATCTCGGAAATTCCACAGTCTATAAACTGCGTATTTACTGTTAACGGTTAACGGTTAACGGTTATCATCCTTTACGCCCTGTCCTAAATTCTTTCGTGTATAATTTTATTACTTGATTTGATTTTATTTTTGATTGATATTTAGAGTCGTTTCGGGTTAGTCTTCAAGATTACCTTAAAACGGGTTTTATTCGCAAAGAAAATGGACATAAGTTCTTGTCTTTTTGCAAATAATATTCCGATTAGCTTGAGAAATCAGTAACTTGACGAATCAATAAATTTTATTGAATTGATATTCAATATCTAGCTATGACTGACTTTCTAAATACTCAAATAATTGGAAAGCACTCTGTTCGCGTTGACTTGATGGTTGATTATTCAGTGAGCGTGGAGGATAATATTCAAGAAAAAGTCATTAAGTTCAAACACCGAAAGTTGCGGGAAAAGGTAATACATACAGAAAACATTTATTTACACATTATGAACGTGCACCCACCAAGTTTTGAGGTGGTGTCGCTGTAATGGGTACTACTAGTAATAATGTAAGACGGCTGATGATGATGATGGAGATGCTGATAACTATTTGAGCTGTTAGAACGATTATTATGAGATTTTCTAGCATACGAGGTGGTAGTAGCGGTAGTAGTAGTAGATAAATGATTACACGATTGTGATAAAGCTATTCTAGTGTTAGAGGTAGTTGTTGTAGTTGTTACATAAAAACTAGGAATACAAGTTGTGGAAGAAGTATATGATTTCTGTAGCGCACCTTCATTCTGTAATTGAAGAATAAATAAATAAATAAATATCAGTTAAGTTTTAAGCAGCGTTTGCAAAAGCAGCCTCCCGACGACGACTTACCTCATTTTGTATTGTGTAATAATTATCCTCACCGTGAGTCTCACGGTCGTGCTGATTGCGATCGCTATTATTAGTACCATGAGCGCGACCACGCCCCTTTTGGAATGTCATCTTAAGCGATTGCCGTCTATGCTGCTGCTGCTGCTGCTGCTGCTGCTGCTGTTGATGTTCTTTAATGGCTACACTCACTGTTGAGCCGGTGGTCTGGGCCGTTTTACGACCATTGGTTGTACTGTTGATGCTACCTGTTGAATTACGATTAAGTTTGATGACTGTCTTCAAGGTGCCCGTGTACTCATGATGTAATGCGGATGCAGCATGTATTGCATTATGTTTACCATTTCGTTTGCTATGATGGGGTTGTTGTTGCTGTTGCTGCTGTTGCTGTTGTTGTTGAACAGCCCTCGAAGCTTCTACAGCTGCCGCCGAACTTTGTATTACTTCAAGACGACGCTTTTCAGCCGCTTTATGTGTAACCAAGCCCAAGTGTTGCAGATGTTGCTCCTTTTGACGAAGCGTTTCTTCATCGTTATCCAAATCTACCGTAACCCACGAATTAGTATCGTTCGAATGTGAAGATTTCATAGATGTCGCATCATCATCTCTTTGCGCATTTGAAATACTCTTTTCACTTATATTGTCCAGTGGCTTAGTATCTGGGATATTTACATCATTCAAAAGAGCAGACTAAAATAATAATTACAGTAAAAAGTTTGTAAAATGTAAAAAATAAGAAGAAGCAATTGTAAATTTTTCTAACCTTTTCTTCTTTAAGATGTTCTTTTTCCAATTTCTCTTGCTTCACTTTAATTTCCCCATCTTCACTGCAGCTGGGGAGAGCTTTAAGTTCGACAATATTTGTACTTTTGGTGAGTTTATCCATATCTTTCTTAATTTTTAAATCTGAAATTTCTACTTGATCCTCATCGTCGGTTAATTTATTGAATTCTTTCTTGACTATTTGTTTTTGTGTAGAAGACGTTTGTGGTATAATCGACTCTTGTGTTTTAGTTGTCTTCTCTTTCGTACAACGCTCACCAAGCTTTTGCAGCTCGGCGTCGATTTTAGCCAAAACGTCATCATTATTTAATTCGACGTGCAGTTTAACGGAATCGTCTTTTAAAACTTTTATTGTTTTTACATTTTTATCAGCCTGGATTTTTTTGGGAGAATCCAATTCATCTGAAGATGGTTGTATGTCGGTTATATCATCCAAATCAGCTAAATCATCTTCAACTATAGGCTGTTGTTCTTCTTCCATGTCTTCTTCTGGCTCTTCTTCTGCCTGCTCATCGTTTATAGAAGCATTATTATCCATAGAAATGCATTCACTCTCATCTATAGTAAGTTCATCTTCTTGTTCAGGTTCTTCAACATTTTTTTCTTTGCGTGATCTATCCAGGACATCGATTTCTTTAAACTTGTCGTTTTCGTTTGCCAACAAAACATCCTCGTCCACAGCCGCATCACTAAAATTCTCTTTAAGTGGTTTGTCGCCATCATCGTCTTCTATGAGCAGCGGGCTTATTCGATCCAAGTTACTAAGAAGACTAATATCGTCTTCCGGGGAGGCAGATTTTTTTTCCTCCATACTTTCATCGAGACGTAGCGTGCCTTCTTTCATCGTATCACTGGCAGAAGAATCGTCCAGCATTGCATCTTGTATAGTCTTCGCCGCCCCTGTTGGCGACACATTCGTTTCCAAGGCATTGTGTTCCTGAACTATAATTGTTCCCAATTTAGGATCTTGTTCTATACCAAGATTATTTTCTAAAAATTTCGGCTTCTTATAGAAACGTTTAACAATTGTTTCACTGACTCCCTCGCTAATTAATTCTGATGGACTTAAGGATGCTGCCTTCTCCGAATCGTTTCCACTACCACCAGAGGCAGCAGAAGATGTGCTTGCGGCGACCGGAGTTAAAGTTGCTATTTGCGCAGACGTTTGTCCTTCGTTCTCTGCAATCTCTGGACCGGATGCTACCTCTATTACTTCAGTATTAACAATTAAAGGCTGTTGCAAACTATCCGATTTACTATTCATTAGTTCTTCTCCTTCTTCTTCTTGAACTACTACTACAAGTTTAGACTCGACTATATCGACAAGAGCAAGTTTCTCTGGTTTAATATTAGCCAGCACAATGTCGTCAGTATTATCTGAAGAAGCAGTACTATCTTTAGAGTCTTCGTCTATAATTGAAGATGACTGGGCCTTTGCATTAGCTCCTACATTACTTTTTAGTAAGCTACGACTATTAGAAGTAATGCGACGTCGTTTGGGTTCCGGATTTGCCGTTGCAGTATTGCGAGCCGGTGACGCCCCTTTGGATTGTCGTGTAGATCTAGTACTAGGCGATAAACTAGGACCGTTGTTAGATTTACGCGCACCCCATCTACCGCGTCCCCTTCCCGGGGTAGCAGTAGTGGTGGTAGTGACTATGGTGCTAGTACTTGCTGTTGACGTTGTAGTGGTTGATATTAGAGCCATACTTGCAAGATGTTCAATATCATGTTCACTATCTTCGGCTATTTCTTGTGTACTGGCATTTGTGTTTTGCGAGGCGTTAAGCGGAAGATCATCGTCTTCTAATTCAGGATCTTTCGCCTCGACTTTTATGAATTTCAATAAAGGTTCCTCGGTTGAAGAGCGTGTATCTACGGACCTTTTACGTTTATTTTGGGGCGATTCAACCAGAGGAATTGGCATTTTCCCGCGTCCCGCACCCCTGCCTCTGCCACGTGCCGCAGGTGGGGTTTCTGAGCGCGAACCACTCCCTGCAGCACCAGTCGATTGACGTTGGCGCGTGATACGAGTACTAGTGCTGATAGCGGCACTTGTTACTACCGCACTGTTAGAGGTAGTATTACGTGTAAGACGATTGGCTGTTGTTGTACTTAAGCCACCAGAAGAGTTTCCCGCTGCCACACTAGTTGTCACTTCTCTCGCCTCCTTGAGATCTTTTATATCACTTGATTCTTTCGTTTCCTTTTGTTGATCTTTATTTTCGATCAATTCTTCTTTATCTTCCTTTTCCTTTTCCTTTTCCTGTTGTTCTTTAAGCTCTTTGGCCTCTTTCAATGACTTACGGCCTCTTATCTGGCCTGTTCGTTTAGTGACGATGGCTGTTGTTGTTGTTGTTGTTGTTCCGCCATCTTCGCTTTCACTGTTATTGGTCTCGACTGCCTCCAAGACGGCATTGTCTTTTTTATTTGTCGGTGAGCTCAGTAATAATGGCGAACTTCGCGTCACACGCGTTTGAAATGGTTTATTTTCCTGTTTTGCTTCCAATTCGAGCTTCTCTGGACTACCAGTGCAATTGGCGGAAGCATTTGTTCCCATTTCCGCTTTGCACGTTAACACAGTATCGACATTTGATTGTGATGTTGTTAAAGGCAATTTGGTTGTTGTAACTGTTGTTGCTGTTGTAGTTGCGACTGTCGTTGCCGTTGTTGTGATTGTTGTAGCATTATCAGTTTTTGTTGTCGTTCCTGCGAGCGTCGTTATAGTTTGTGATTTGCGGGTAGACATCGTTTAATAAATTCTAATAAACTTGGCTACTGGGAGGGGGATTAAAGCGTTTTAAAATTTAACACCGTATAAAGCGCGTGATGTAAAAATGAACTCGCTTTAATTGTCACTTTATACGAATTTTAAAATTTTCCCACACATCCCATAAATATTTTTATTGGTTATTTTATTATGATTTAGATATATTTGCGATTTGCTCTTTTCTTTATTTTTTTTTTTTTCTTTTCTCAAAAATAAATGAGAAAATCTATGTTTTATTTTTTTTATTATGCAAATAATAAATTGGTCCCATTTTGTAAGGTTAGGTTTCTGCAACTGCAAATAAATGAAAATATATATAAAAATACATTATCATTGGAATTATTGTTCGATAACGGTATCTCTTTTGGTTAGTTTTACTAACTTAGAAAACATTCTTAAAACTCTTACGGAAATTTATTGAAATGTTAAAAACACACTCAATAATTACATCCTCGCTTAAAACAACTTACGAATCTCTTTACTTATTGACAGCGTTTAGCAATTCATGCATAGCATGCACATACACACATGCACGCATATTTAAATAACCAATTCGATGTTGCAAGCAGTACCAGCAGCGGATTTTAGTAAGACTTGATTAATATATATGGGAGATGCTGCTGGTTGTCGTTATTCGTGCCTGTGTATAGTGTGCGTACTGTCGTTTTCAGTTTTATTCTTGCGATAGTTATTCATATTTTTGTTATCGGTGTTGTTGTTTTAGTTTATATTGTTGTTGTTGTTGCTGTTTCCTTAAAACCGGTTTATATATATATCTATATATGTGTGTGTGTGTATTTATATGTTCATACATGGATACATATATATGTATATGTATCCACATTTGCAGGCATAATATATCTGTTAGTGTTCATTCGTACTCTGAATACATTCCTCCTTTAAGCATAAAATTTATTTAGTCTTTTGCAAGCCAAATTTTGTTATATTTAAAAGAAAACGATACAATTATGTACTCAAAGCACAAAAATATGTACAGCAACAAGGAGTATTTATCTATCTCTCTCTCTCTCTCTCTCTTTCTATATATATATATAGGTTCGTGAAGAGGACCTTATTGAAAGATTGTTAAGATTGGATGTAAATGCTGCTAAAAACTACAAACATCAAAAAGGATAGCAACATAACATAATCAACTGTTGCAAATAAACATATATGCGTACGATTATTAAATTGTAAAAGACAGGTTCCATAGCTTACTTAATTTTCGCTTGTTTACATGTTCTCGACTTTGCGATTTAAGTTGCGCGTATTTAAATTTAAACTAAATAGAATTTGCTAAAATTGTCACAGATTGAGACCAAGGATCTGTTTTTTCTTTTTTTTCATTATTTCGGTTGTTCAAACACTTCGCAGGCTAATCACGAAACAAGGTCAACTTGATGAATCCAAATCCTATGTTTAATGCATTGCTTAAATCACTATCTGCTTAATCAAAAAAAAAAAAAAAAAAAAAAAGTTAACGATACTCAACCGATTTTGAAGAAATAAGGACCCGAAGACTATGGTTTATTGGGATTTATCGTCTACATCATTAGTTTACGAGTTATATGAAAGTATCACTTAGAGAGGCCTATACCTATTTATAGTGCCCTCGCGGTATTGCGGTTTAGGGTAAGACAATATATGGCGAAAGGTCAGAAATTTCACCTCTTCTCCGCCCGCTTACCGTACGTCTTCTAAAATACATACGACCTTTTTTTGCATATGTGACTTATCGAGTTACGCATCCTAATATCCGTAGTCTTCCTAGTTCGGGCATTTTTATAGTCACTTTTGCATTCAGACTTATACACCTCCAACTTTTTCTATGATGGAGTTTACATGTGCAATGAGAAGTATTGACCCAGCAATGTGAATTACCTAATAGCGCTACTACTTCTGTAGTGCTCTCAGCTCTGTGATCTGTGAATCTTGAGTCGACTACTTAGTAAAGATGTCTGCTAGGAAACGATATTCGATGCTCTCGTTGACCTCTCCGTGATGGGCTTGCGTCGACGAAATTATTTTGTTGGGCAATCTGTAAACGATGGAACATGGGCCTAGCAGTCTTCAGAAACTGGGCATCTGAACACTTACTATTCAGCCCCCGCCTAAACGACTTTCAAACGGATTATTTCTACTATAAAGCAATAAAACAAAATTTTCTTTGAGTATTGGGGCTTAGCGTAATATGAGTCGTTTCTGCCGGGTCTACCCATTTATCATGAATGTTATTTACTCCCCATGTGTCATATATATGTGAAGCTAAAATTGCGGAGATTTTTCCATCACCTTTATCAAGCTGCGTTGTTTCTTCGAGGCTTTATCAGCAAAATTTTAATTCGAATCGTTTCGCGAATCAATTTTCATCTGATTCAGATTCTTTTCATTTCTGACAATTCTCGAAAGTAGAACAAACCACTTAAAAAGATGGTGTTTTGATACGTATGGAAAAATCGAGCCGCTTTGCAAACATACGTTTATAGATGGAAGTTTAACGGGCACATCTTGGCGTATTCTAACTTATAAACTTCTAAAAATGTTGTTTCAACTATTTTGATGGACATCTGAGCGCATCTAACTTGCGATCCAAACGATTCGTTTCCATCATTATCCAATTTCCTGATCCCCTTACAACGTACAATGACCAAATTTGAAGAAAGAGAACAACTTTATAAATTCCTATGCTTATCTCGGACTTATTGTATTAAGGGTCCTGAAGTTCGAGATTTATTGCAGTTGAACAATTTATGCTATTGTTTCTCTCATCCGCCTGGATTGGCCGAGTAGGCAACGAATCGCGAGTAACAATTCAATGATCGTGTGTTTAAAGTGCGGAAAAGTTTCAATAAAGCCGGTAGCCTTAGACGCTAGTCTTTGAGTTCCTTTCTCTAGGCTAAATTAATTATAATAAGAAAAATTATACATACTCTAATTATTGTAAAAACTATTATTCGTCAATCAATGTGAGTCCATGTTACAGGACAACACTCCACACCTCAGAGGACTAGAAAATCTGCACTAACTATTGTACCTGATCGCCTCGAATGGCAGCACCATATATCATCAATGTCGCCTAACCTGCCCTATTAGTCATACACCCAATCCTTTCTTCACACAGTCTTTTTTTATATGATCTTGAAATGACACAGTTCACCCATGAACCCCACATGGACTCTTTTTACACGAATCCAAAAAAAAAAAAAATTAAAATTTTTCAAATTTTGATAGTGTCTCATGGAAACTTATTCATACAGCAACAAGATACAATTGAGGGAATACTGTGATCAAAAATCAGGCGGCTTATGCCCACACATATATTACTGACTTGTTTTGCTGCTTGGCCGGCTTGGGTAATAACGAACAAAATTCTTCATATGAATTAAATCTGACAGTCGTCGTGCTAAACACACTCGACGTATCTACTGGTGGTATTATTTTTGATCCAGTTTGTAATAAACGTGCAGGAGCGATGAATAGTTGGGGAATTGGTTTTCATTCCTAAATTTAATTTTTTACGGGCCGAATTTTCACTGTACACTACTGCTACCACTGTAAGATGGGATATATACTCATTTTGTTATTTTCCATAACGTATGTAACAACCGAAAGGAAGCTTCAGAGATCCTATAAAGCATATGTATATATATATTCTTGATCAGCGTGGAATTCGGAGTTGATATAGGTATGTCTGTCCGTCCGTGTGTCTGTGTGGCGTGTGTTGTTGGCCCTCTCCTGGCCGCAAAAATGAAAATGTCGATTTTAAATTTTGGTAGAAATCTTGGAAGTTCCTGGAAGTAGGTTGGCATTGAGAATAGGCCAAATCGTTGGGAGCGGAAGCGCGCCGTGGAGCGTAAACTGAAAGCAACTCAGTTTTTTTTAACAAAAATTTTTGGATTTTTGCTCATTACCGTCGTCGACACAATAAAAGGCTGAAATTTTCCAAATTTGCTTTGCAAAGCACTCGACTCCCCACGTTCAAAAATGGAAAACATCTGCCACACCCACAAAAGCTAACAAATGATTAAATTTCGATTTTTTCACTTTCTTGAGGTTTTTACGCATATTCATCATAACCCAAACAAGACCGAATATTTAAAATTATTTTGTAAGCTCCTTAACTGACGATGTATTATCTGTCGAAAAGTGGATTGATTCGAAAATGAATATAGCGATTATCTTTTTCTTAATAATACTAGCGATATGGGTATCAAATAAAAGAAATTGGGGAGTAGAATCCGCAAAGCATAGTTGTGGGTATGCGAGATACGGCCCCCGCTGTATATAGCTTTCTTATTTGTTGTTTCATAAGTACGTAATAAGGATTTCATTATTGATTTTTTTGCACGGTTTTTTTGAAAATGTAAGTAGAGCTTTTTTATTTTACACGAGTTGTTTACAGTTGTAGAACATATCCGAATACACGCACGATTTTTTTTGCATAGATTTCTAAGAAAGGCATTTGCGGTGTAGAAAAAGAGCTGTGTATGCACCTTGTACGTTGGGCCACCGCCATTGGTCGCAAACCGCAGAACGGATGTGCTTTGAATTTAGCCATGTTTGCACGGTTTACATATTTTTTTTGTTTTTTTTTATTTTTTTTTATTTTTTGCACATACCCCGATCTATTCAAAACTCCAAAAGATTATGTTATCTTCACTTGTAATACTTGTACCAGGTGGTTTTAGTTCAGTAGTTGCTTTATGCGTAAAGGTTTTCGTTTATGTTTCTTTGTCATATTGTCTTTGATCTTGTGCTTGCGACTATTAAACATTCGGGAGAATATGCGGCGGACTTGATTTAAACTTCATTCACAATTATTTTATAAAATTTACAAATCATTGCCAACTAAGTAGAGGTATGGAAAAGAAACAAAAAAAATAAAAATAAAAAAAATAGAAAAAGGATTTTTGCCCATCCATTAACAAAGGGTGGAATAACATGTCAATACTTCGAGTTAAACGAATTGGAGAGAAAACGATGAGTGGCACGCATTAATACAAAACTTCTAGCGAATTTTCTCTGGAGCTTATCAAAGTACGTTATCCAATAGAGGATTACCGTTTCAAGGCATCGCCTATTTTAATCTCTTTTGATTGCAACTTCTGTAGCAATTCATGTCTCTCGACGTACATATCTGCATGCACACGATTGCAACCAACGCGTGTGCCGTAAAAGGTAATTTCGTTTAGTTAGTTGGTCTGCATTTTACTTTTTTCTATTTACACAGACAAAGGGGCGATCACACACAGCCTAACAAGCAATGAAACAGAATTTAATATAAAGTGTATGAA